CTTTCTCCCCTTCACCTTCCCTGCTCTACACTAGGTAGAACTATAGGAATCTATACCACTTGAGTCAGATTTTTCATCTAATAGTTATTTAAACCTCCCTTTTTTTCTCTTTGGAAACTGACAGTTACTTTTGTTACATTTTGGCTACATTCCTATAGCTACTGTTATACACAGTTTCCAATTGAGCTAATAATTTGCTTATGGCCACCTAGCAAGCACTTATAATTTATCTGTCGTTAATTGATACTCCGTCTAATGGATATACGATTTATCGTTTTACATCTAATTGCCTTTTAGGGACATTTTTCATTTACCCAGCAGAGTGGACCAGCTCTTGTTTTATTTATTTTAAATTTATGTTGTGTGTATGTGCACATAGTACTATTTTGTGTATTGTAGTCGGTCTTTTGTTATAAGAGACTTTTTAGCAATTTATACTTTCATTAAAAGTTATGTTTTATCTATATATATATATATATATATATATATATATATATATATACCTGTTCCTAGTATTCCATTGTTTATATTTACATTGTATCCTCCATTTCTTTTCCTTCTAATTACCTATACAGTTTAAGCACCCAATTTCCTCCAATTCTTGAATGTACCCCAAGACTATAACTTACACCCATAAATTACATATCCCCTGATAGCCCTGATCTGGGTAAACAACATACTGAAAAATCACCCAGATCGGTTCAGGGGTTCGTGAATTTCCTCGAGGTCTTTGTTTTACCGACCGCACAAGAGGTGTTAGCCGAAGAGAGTTCCATGTGTTTTGGCCTTGCGGTCGGTGAGGTGAGGTGAAAAATACGAAATTGTCTTTTATCTGCCTGGGTTCAGATGATTCTCCTCGTTCGTATGATTCCTTTCACCAAATGCTATTCCGTTCGTATGTTTCCCCACAAACGGGTGGAAGTATGGAGGTCTCTGTGGTGTTCGCGTGGTCGAGTGTCTGTTTGGGTTCCAGACACTCGACGGTGCGTTCGTATGTAAAGATGGCCGCCGCCACGTGTTCATATGCCCAGGGAATACACAGTGTGTTCGTATAATTGTCAATTGAGGTAACGTGAAAAACAATAGGGGAGGTCAATTAGTGCCACACTCTGCTCCGGGGTGGCCTGGTTGTTTGGTATTTTGTTCGTTTGTAGAATGGTACACTCGATGGTTCAAAGTAGATTTTTACCGAACAACCAGACGAATGACACAACAGATTGGGGGTTACTTGGTTCTTTTACCAGTGAATTAAATTGTGGAGAATAGAGTAAAATACTTCAACGATTAGGGGTAGGGTCAGCCAACAATACAATGATGAGTAGCAACACACAATCCGTTACAATGTATCCTCCAAAGACATGTGCCAAATCATTTTCAGGGTTATTCATTTTCATAAGCTTTGAATGTCTCTCACTAATAAGGAAAGACACTAAGAGGGTTATTTACAAATGTGAGAACTGTAAGGAATTAAATCTGAATTTAAAAATTTAGGTCAAAATAGTCATATCATAGACATGTCAGTTCGTTTTTTAGTTTGGCTTTTAGGCCATAAATTTGAAATTCACTTTGAATTTCCAGCAATTCTCACTTTAGTGAATAACCATGTGAATGTAAAACAAACTTTGCATTAAAATTCCAACTTTTATAATATCTTTTCTACATCAAAACATGTGAACACATGAACATTTTTATAAAAAAGTGCACAGGTTTATAAATAAATAAATAAATATAAATAAATATAAAAGTCAGTTCTCTTTATGCACTCCGCCAAAACTTTAATTTAACCAAGTGTAGACCAAGGGTAGTCAACATTTTTTTTTTTTTTTATTGAGACACGCAATCATAATTTAAACATGTAGGTACATTCGGTATATACTTCATGACGGTACAAAGATTAATATGCCCTGTTTACATTCAGAGCAGACATTTCAATATGGTTATTACATGTTGACGGTAAGTCCATAAATGATGTATATCGCATGCCCCAAGCATTTTGTGGGAAGTTCAACACTAGTGGGGAGATAGAGTAGGAGAGGGGAAAGGAGGGTAGAAGAGGTTAGTGAGGGAAGGGGTATCCTTCTAGCTTGGCTGGATGGTTTGTGCTTAGAGTGGAGGGTAGCAGCAGGGCCGGTGCAAGGATTTTTGCCGCCCTAGGCAAAAAATGTTTTGCGCCCCCCCCCCATATGTCCTGCCCACCATGTGACATTACAATGCCCCGCCCATATGCTCTGCCATATGGGCCAACACCAGTCTTCACAAAGTGTCTTTTATCTGAAAAGACAGTGTGTTTACATTTAAAAGCCTACAGGCACAGGCTATAGACACCAGAACCACTACATTATGCTGTAGTGCTTCTGGTGACTATAGTATCCATTTAATGTGAGGTAAATTAGAGATTAGTGCCACTTATAATATATTGGATTGCCTACTTACCACCAGATGAGGACAAGAGGCTGATGATGGGCTCTGTCTGGCTCCACAGGTCTGGTAGAAGAGGCTCTCTGGAGATTGTTTTTAACAGTGCTCACAACAATTAACGAACAGGAAGCAGCTCCATTTTTTAGGGCCCCTTACACAGCTCAAGGTCTGGGCCCCCAGGGCTTGACCGTGAGTATGCCTACAATGCCCACCCATAAATCCACCTACATGGCCCACCCGTGAGTTCTCTCACAGGAAGTGGAGTGTATGTGTGTAGGGGATGTTATATGTGTTATTGTAGAGGATGTGTGTTCTTATAGAATGTAGTGTATAGGGATACCAATTTCTGTAAGGGATATAGTGTGTTTATAGGGGATGCAGTGTGTGTTTGCATGTAAGGAATGCATTGTATGTTTCTGGGTGTGTGTGTGTGTGGTCCTTACTCCCCCTCCTGTCCTTAACCCCCTCCCCTGGTGGTCCTTACCTCCCCTGGTGGTCCTTACCACCCCCTTCCCTGGTGGTCCTTACCTCCCCCTTCCCCTCCCCCTGTGGTCCTTGCCTACCCCCCTCCCCTCCCCCTGTGGTCCTTGCCTACACCCTCCCCTTGTGGTCCTTACCTCCCCCCTCCCCTCATGGTCCATGTGGTCCTTACCTCCCCCTCCCTCATGGTCCATACCCTTCCCTGGTGGTACTTTACCTCCCCCCTCCTTCTCCCTGTGGTCCTTACCTCTCCCTTCCCTCCCCTGTGGTGCTTGCCTACCCCCTCCCCTGTGGTCCTTGCCTACCCTCCCCTTCCCCTGTGGTCCCTACTTCCTCCCTTCCCCCCTGTGGTCCCCCTACCCCCTCCCTCCCCTGTGGCCTGCCCACCCCTCCCCTCCCCTGTGGTCCTTACCTCCCCCCCTCCCCTGTGTTGTCCTTACCCCCTCCCCTCCCCCCTGCCTACTCCCTGTGGTCCTTGCCTCCCCTCCCCTGTGGTCCTTGCCTACCTCCCCTCCCCTCCCCTCCCCTGTGGTTCACCTCCTCCCTCCCCTGTGGTCCTTCACCTCCCCTCCCCCCTGTGGTCCTGCCACCCTCCCCTGTGGTCCACCCTCTCCCCCTCTTCCCTGGTGGTCCTTACCTACCTCCCCCCTCCCCTGTGGTCCTGTGGTCCTTACCTCCCTCCCTGGTCTTGCCTCCCCTGTGGTCCTACCCCCTCCCTTCTCCCTGTGGTCCTCCCCCCTTCCCTCCCCTGTGGTGTGCTTGCCCCCTCCCCTGTGGTCCTTGCCTACCCCTCCCTTCCTGTGGTCCTACCTCCCCCCTCCCCTGGTCCCCTACCCCTCCCCTTCCCCCTGTGGTCCCTACCTTCCCCTGTGGTCCACCTACCCCATCCCTCCCCTCCCATCCCCTCCCCATGTTGTCCTGCCCCACCCCCTCCCCCTTGCCTCCCTCCCCTGAGGTCCTGCCTACCCCCCTCCCCTGTGGTCCTCCCCTCCCCTCCCTCCCCTCCCCTGTGGTTCTTACTTCCCCCTCCCCTGTGGTCCTTACCTCCCCCCCTCCCTATCCCTGTGGTCATACCAATCCCCCCTCCCCCCCTGTGGTCCTTACCTATCCCCTCCCCTCCTGTGGTCCATACCTATCCCTCCCCTCCACCCCCCCCTCCCCCTCTGTGGTCCGCCTCCTCCCTCCTCCTGTGGTCCTGCCTACCCTCCCTCCCCTGTGGTCCTTACCTATCCCCCTCCCCTGTGGTCCACCTATCCCCCTCCCTCCTACTGTGGTCCTGCCTACCCCTCCTCCCCTGTGGTCCTTGCCTACCCCTCCCCTCCCCTGTGGTCCTACTATCCTCCTCCCCTGTGGTCCCTACCTATCCCCTCCCTCCCTGCCCCCCTGTAGTCCTACCTCCTCCCTCCCCTGTGGTCCTTGCCAACCCCTCCCCTTCCCCTGTGGTCCTTACCTCCCCCGTGGTACTTACCTCCCCCTCTCCTCCCCTGTGGTCCTGCCACCCCTCCCCTGTGGTCCCTCCCCCTGTGGTCCTTGCCTACCCCCTCCCCCTGTGGTCCTTACCTCTCCCCCCTCAGTGAGCACTTCCTGTCAGTCCGACGGTGGACGGGTACAGGAAACAGAGGTTCCTGTCCCGCGTTCCGCACCGCCCGGCCACGCAACATTCAGAGACTGGCAGGAGGGAGCGCTCTGCACTTCCCTCCTGCCAGTCACTCAAATCCGGCCGCCCTCCACAGCAGTGCTGCGCCGCCTGAGGCTTGTAAAAGCGCTCAGGCGGCGCAGCATGAGGAGCCGCCGGGCGCAGGGCTCCGGCGCCCCCTGCTAAGGTGCGCCCTAGGCGGCTGCCTAGGTCGCCTTACAGGTAGCGCTGGCCCTGGGTAGCAGGCACGTATCTTCAGTTGTCATATTTTGCTTGTTCTCGTGATTTGGGATATTCTCGTCTATTCCACACCATGGATGTTGCTCTCGCTTTCCGTCAGTGTTTATGTTGGTGGTTTGTCATTGTTGTGGTTGTACGTGTCCCAAATTTGTTTTGCCTTATCTAGTGTAGGTTTAGGGCCAAATTGGTGTTGGTGCATGGTCTGGTATGTCCAGTTGAGTGCAACCTGGTGCAATAGGTGAGTGAGCGTGGCTATTTCTCTAGATTTCCAATGTCTCGCTATTAGAATGTGTGCTGATGTGAGCGTGTGGTATGCTAGCGCCCGGTGTGTCTTGGACATCCTCTCCGGAAACATGTACAATAGGCACAGTGCAGGACTTTTGTCTACCTGGCTACCGAGCATATCCGACATAACTCATAAGGGTGTGAGTGTGGGACATGTCCACCATATGTGGATCATCTTATCCACTTCTCGCTCGCAACACCAACATATGTTTGTGGAAGCGGGCCAGGTTTTATGGATTTTTTCCGGTACCAGATACCATCGGTATAATATTTTCCTTTGCATTTCTAAGTGTTGAGCACAGGATGTGAGCGCAGGATGTGATGCCTTTATGGGCTGTGTATGCTCTTTTCCACTGCACCAGGCTTAACTCGGTGCCTAATTCTTTGTGCCAGGCGTCCTTGTAAGGTTCATGTGATATTGGATGGCCGTGTAGGGGTAGTAAACATTTTAATACCTACTTCCCATTTATCGTTTTTTATGGTAAAATTTCCTAACCGCCCATCGGTGCGGTATTAATGCAGCATTTTAAAAATATGTATTTAAATTTCTCTTTTTATTTCTACTTTAAACATGTTTGTACATATAATGTTAATTTAAAGAATATCTGAATCAACAATCAACAATGCAGCACCTATTAGCACAGGAGCTGCTTGAATTAAAAAAAGAACGTTAAATGTGAAAACAATAAATAGAAACAATAAAATGTTTTTTTTTTACTTTTTTATTTTATTTTCCTTTTTTCTATTTTTTGTTCTTTTACTCTATTTTTTTTATTTATTTTTCTTCCTTTTAATTTTTTTCACCTTTTCCTTTCTTCTTCTATTGTCTCCTTCCTTATTTAAAAAATAACCAGCAGAATGGCTGAACTAGGTAGCCTACTTTATTATTCAGCAAAAACAACCGAAAAAAGGAATATGTTTATATCAGAGGTCTCTTTTTTCTTTCTCTTTATTCTCTCCTTCTCCTTCCTACTTATTTTCCTTCTTTCTTTCATTTTAACATAAGTAAACAGAAAATATCTTGCCAAAGTTCATTATCAGCAACTCTAAACACCACACTTTCACATCGAGTTCACCAGCTACCCTCCACTTCCGGCGTGTTAGATCATCACACACCTGTCCGTCCTGATCAGGAGTGCAGCTGCACGAGCGCTTCCTTTTAGCCATCGAGAGAGATTTAGCAAACAGAGGCATTCATACATTGCATGTCGGGCATTCTTGATGGCTGTAAAGATTCACGGGCCTACATGGGGCATGTTGTTGTGCCAGAAGGTCGTGGATAAAACCTACCAAAGCCCACCATGAAAGCTTGAATCTCCCACTAGTGGGCGGTAGGGACCAGGTTGACTACCACTGCTATAGACAAATATCATTTTAAAGCAAAAATTTACTATTTGTCTTGTTATAAAATCAGTATGAAATATCTCAACATATAAGAGTTAAAAATGTCTAGAAAATGCTTGCAATTATACTTTAATCAGCTACACTATTTAATTTGTATGTTTTATTGTGTTAAATTAAACTCTTGTTCAAATTTAGAATAATAAGATTTGCCAAGTGGAACAAAAAAGCAGAAGGAACAAACGAAATGTTTTGGTTGTGGTTTAGAGTTGAGACAATAATGATCAGATTAACAGAAAATAAAGTGCTTGCAATACTTAGCATACAAATAGTGGTCACAGAGGGTGCAGCAGTCACTTTATCTTGTTTTTCGAATGACCTAGCAATATAGCATCCCGTAGCATTTTATGGTAGTCTGTTTGCATCACATAACTAATTTGTTTCTCTAATTTGTTGACAGTTCACAGTAACCATGAGAATATAACTTCTTATCTTGAGCCATGAAAGGAGAAGACTGGAAGTGCATGTGAGATGGATTTAACATTATCCAATGCAGTGCAGACTGGACACTTAGACACAATATCTTAGGTGCTCTGAGAGAAGTTAAAGGGACACTATAGTCACCAGAACAACTACAGCTTATTGAATTTGCTCTGGTGAGTAGAATCATTACCTTCAGGCTTTTTGCTGTAAACACTGTCTTTTCAGAGAAAATGCAGTGTTTACATTACAGCCCAGTGATAACTTCACTGGCCACTCATCAGATGGCTTTTAGAGATCCTTCCTGGGTCCTGGCTGCCTAAAATGCATCCAGACATCCAGTGCCTCCTCCCTCTGCATGCAGGCTACCACATCTGATCCACTTCTGATGATGTTTGAGGCAAACAGCATGCAGATCTACAGCTTAAGGCTTGAATACAGTAAGATTTTGCTATATTTATGGAGGCATTAGGGGCCCAAAGGGGCTAGATGGTGGTTTTAACACTATAGGGTCAGGAATACATGTTTGTGTTCCTGAGCCTATAGTGATCCTTTAAAAATGAATGATACATTCTTTGGTCAGGAAAGGTTAATCACATTTACAAATAAAAGTAAGCCAGACACAATATGCTAGTTTTGTGTGTCTTTTAGAGAAGCTTAAAGGATCACTATAGTGCCAGGAAAACATACTTGTTTTCCTGGCACTATAGTGCCCTGAGGGTGCCCCCACCCTCAGGGACCCCCTCCCGCCCGGCTCAGGAAGGGGGAAAAGGGTTAAAACTTACCTTTTTCCAGCGCTGGGCGGGGAGCTCTCCTCCTCCGATCCTCCTCTTCTCCTCCCATGCGGCTGAATGTGCACGCGCGGCAAGAGCTGCGCACGCATTCAGCCGATCACATAGGAAAGCATTATCAATGCTTTCCTATGGACGCTTGCGTGCTCTCACTGTGATTTTCACAGTGAGAAGCACGCAAGCGCCTCTAGCGGCTGTCAATGAGACAGCCACTAGAGGGAATGGGGGAAGGCTTAACCCATTCATAAACATAGCAGTTTCTCTGAAACTGCTATGTTTATAAAAAAATGGGTTAACCCTATCTGGACCTGGCACCCAGACCACCTCATTAAGCTGAAGTGGTCTGGGTGCCTAGAGTGGTCCTTTAAGAGGCGACAAGTGTCAGCTTCACTTCATGTGAAGATTTGTAGCGATATGAGATCCCTAATATATGATGTTTGTGTTCCTGACCCTATAGTGATCCTTTAAAAATTAATGATACATTCTTTGGTCAGGAAAGGTTAGTGACATTTACAAATAAAAGTAAGCCAGACACAATATGTGAGTTTTGTGTGTCTTTCAGAGAAGCTTATGGAAGAGGCGAGAAGTGTCAGCTTCACTTCATGTGAAGATTTGTAGCGATATGAGATCCCTAATGTATAAAAAGTTAAATATATCATCTTATGCTATCCATACCTACATGCAGTCAGATTTATTGTCTTGCAAAACATAGTACAGATAGGTACAAATAGTCAAGCTGGTCACTTTATTGACATCTGGGTGCTTTTATTGGTCCTTTAATTTTCATTAAGTGAACAAAATCTAAAACAAAATTCATGCTCTAAAGCATCGTCGATACAGTGATTTTATAATAAAGGTATTTAATAGTTGCTAATATGAACCAACACATTTTTAATAGATGACTGTGTTACTAAAATAAATGACAACTATTTTGTGCTTTGATTCTGAGAGGGAAAAACATTTTTTTTCTCTGTCATATTCATTAAATTCCTTATGCTTGATAGGTGGATATGATTGCAATTTTTTTCTTCCAAACATGCAAATATCCCTCAGAGTAAAGTGATGGAAATGTAATGTACCTGAACTATTACACTGTATTTGTTCTATGTAAATAACAATGCACTTAGATAACTATTTTCAGTGTTCTATGGCATGGGTGATCTAGTTTAAAATACCAGTAATTATGATATGACACTATTCAATATTATAAAAAAAAAAATGAATAAAATAAGCTGTTAGAGAAACAAATAATAAAATAAGTAAAGTTTGCATTTGCCTCGTTCATAGACATAGAACATTTAAACATTTAATAAATGGAAAATTGTTTTCATTGTTTTTTTTGTTAGGTAAACTGCTTACCTGACAAAAAACAAATAACATATGTTGTAATGTAAAAGTAAACCAATACATGTTAACTACAAAAAAGAAAATAACACCAAAAATCACCACCAACCACAGCTCTGCTTGAGCAGACAATGAAAGTGTGTGGTTTAATGGCTGATAGATACAGTGCCCTCCACCCGTATTTTCACAATCTGGAAAAAAAAAAGACACACACAAATTATCTGCTGTCATTGATATCAAACAATTGCAAATACACCATAGGTTTATAAAAAAAAAAAAAATTGTGGAATATATGAGTGGTACAATTATTGGTACCCCTATGAATTACTATGAGAGAAATGTATTTTAGGTACATACTTATTGATATTTTAAATGTTTTAATACACCTGGGTCATATTCTAAATGTACAAATAAGATAGTTCAGGCAAAGTAAATCCACACATCTTAAAAATAGTCTCTCTAGGTATCTGTGGTACACATACTACAAGTGGTATTTATCAAGCTAAGAATATACAGTTCATGAGAAAAGTTTTTTTTTTTAATTAGACTGCTCGTGGAACCCGACCAAATGTGTTTCTTGTTTGCTCAGAATGCCCCAAAACTGATCAACTTTATTTTATCAAAAAGACACTTAAAAGCCAGGTTTTTAAAGAGACACTCCTGGACACCGTAGCTTTCTAAAATGCTATAGTTTGTGAATGTTCTTTTAATTTTACATAAACAGCAGATTTCAATAGAAATTGCAAATTTTCTGATTAAACCTTGATACTCCCCTCTCCATGGATTCCAAGCAGATAATAGGCCTGGTTGCCTCCTTGCAAAGACTTCTCATAGAGCTGTTTTAGAAAGTCTATAAATTGGACTGCCACAAAAAGTCTGGGCTCAGTTAGAAGGGGAGGGCTTTCAAACGCAACAAACAAGAGATGAAGGCAAGAATGGAAAATCACACATATTTGCAGTATCCATTATGTATTTTAAAGGAACACTCCAAATTCCTTAACAATTTAACATGCTTAAGTACTTTAGGGTTAAAAACATGACCATTTGTCTATTTTTAGATTTTTCTGTGTGCAAATTTTAAGATACACACATATATCTATATATGTAATTTAAAAAAAAAAGTAATGATGAGATCAAAAATCAACAA